GATGGTGATTCCACAACCTCCCTAGGCAATTTATTCCAGTGTTTAACCACCCTGACAGTTAGGAACTTTTTCCTAATGTCCAACCTAGACCTCCCTTGCTGCAGTTTAAGCCCATTGCTTCTTGTTCTATCCTCAGAGGCTAAGGTGAACAAGTTTTCTCCCTCCTCCTTATGACACCCTTTTAGATACCTGAAAACTGCTATCATGTCCCCTCTCAGTCTTCTCTTTTCCAAACTAAACAAACCCAATTCTTTCAGCCTTGCTTCATAGGTCATGTTCTCAAGACCTTTAATCATTCTTGTTGCTCTTCTCTGGACCCTTTCCAATTTCTCCACATCTTTCTTGAAATGCGGTGCCCAGAACTGGACACAATACTCCAGCTGAGGCCTAACCAGAGCAGAGTAGAGCGGAAGAATGACTTCTCGTGTCTTGCTCACAACACATCTGTTAATATATCCCAGAATCACGTTTGCTTTTTTTGCAACAGCATCACACTGTTGACTCATATTTAGCTTATGGTCCACTATAACCCCTAGATCCCTTTCTGCCGTACTCCTTCCTAGACAGTCTCTTCCCATTCTGTATGTGTGAAACTGATTTTTTCTTCCTAAGTGGAGCACTTTGCATTTGTCTTTGTTAAACTTCATCCTGTTTACCTCAGACCATTTCTCCAATTTGTCCAGATCATTTTGAATTATGACCCTGTCCTCCAAAGCAGTTGCAATCCCTCCCAGTTTGGTATCATCCGCAAACTTAATAATCGTACTTTCTATACCAATATCTAAGTCGTTAATGAAGATATTGAACAGAGCCGGTCCCAAAACAGACCCCTGCGGAACCCCACTCGTTATGCCTTTCCAGCAGGATTGGGAACCATTAATAACAACTCTCTGAGTACGGTTATCCAGCCAGTTATGCACCCACCTTATAGTAGCCCCATCTAAATTGTATTTGCCTAGTTTTTCGATAAGAATATCATGCGAGACCGTATCAAATGCCTTACTAAAGTCTAGGTATACCACATCCACAGCTTCTCCCTTATCCACAAGACTCGTTATCCTATCGAAGAAAGCTATCAGATTGGTTTGACATGATTTGTTCTTTACAAATCCATGCTGGCTGTTCCCTATCACCTTACCACCTTCCCAGTGTTTGCATATGATTTCCTTAATTACTTGCTCCATTATCTTCCCTGGCACAGAAGTTAAACTAACTGGTCTGTAGTTTCCTGGGTTGTTTTTATTTCCCTTTTTATAGATGGGCACTATATTTGCCCTTTTCCAGTCTTCTGGAATCTCTCCCGTCTCCCATGATTTTCCAAAGATAATAGCTAGAGGCTCAGATACCTCCTCTATTAGCTCCTTGAGTATTCTAGGATGCATTTCATCAGGCCCTGGTGACTTGCAGGCATCTAACTTTTCTAAGTGATTTTTAACTTGTTCTTTTTTTATTTTATCTGCTAAACCTACCCCCTTCCCATTAGCATTCACTAGGATAGGCATTCCTTCAGACTTCTCGGTGAAGACCGAAACAAAGAAGTCATTAAGCATCTCTGCCATTTCCAAGTTTCCTGTTACTGTTTCTCCCTCTTCACTAAGCAGTGGGCCTACCCTGTCTTTGGTCTTCCTCTTGGTTCTAATGTATTGATAAAAAGTCTTCTTGTTCCCCTTTATTCCCTTAGCTAGTTTGAGCTCATTTTGTGCCTTTGCCTTTCTAATCTTGCCCCTGCATTCCTGTGTTGTTTGCCTATATTCATCCTTTGTAATCTGTCCTAGTTTCCATTTTTTATATGACTCCTTTTTATTTTTTAGATCATGCAAGATCTCGTGGTTAAGCCAAGGTGGTCTTTTGCCACATTTTCTATCTTTCCTAACCAGCGGAATAGCTTGCTTTTGGGCCCTTAATAGTGTCCCTTTGAAAAACTGCCAGCTCTCCTCAGTTGTTTTTCCCCTCAGTCTTGATTCCCATGGGACCTTACCTATCAGCTCTCTGAGCTTACCAAAATCCGCCTTCCTGAAATCCATTGTCTCTATTTTGCTGTTCTCCCTTCTACCCTTCCTTAGAATTGCAAACTCTATGATTTCATGATCACTTTCACCCAAGCTGCCTTCTACTTTCAAATTCTCAACGAGTTCCTCCCTATTTGTTAAAATCAAGTCTAGAACAGCTTCACCCCTAGTAGCTTTTTCAACCTTCTGAAATAAAAAGTTGTCTGCAATGCAGTCCAAGAATTTGTTGGATAGTCTGTGCCCCGCTGTGTTATTTTCCCAACATATATCCGGATAGTTGAAGTCCCCCATCACCACCAAATCTTGGGCTTTGGACGATTTTGTTAGTTGTTTAAAAAAAGCCTCATCCACCTCTTCCACCTGGTTAGGTGGCCTGTAGTAGACTCCTAGCATGACATCACCCTTGTTTTTTACCCCTTTTAGCCTAACCCAGAGACTCTCAACACTTCCGTCTCCTATGTCCATCTCTACCTCAGTCCAAGTGTGTACATTTTTAATATATAAGGCAACACCTCCTCCCTTTTTCCCCTGTCTATCCTTCCTGAGCAAGCTGTATCCATCCACACCAACATTCCAATCATGTGTATTATCCCACCAAGTTTCAGTGATGCCAACAATGTCATAGTAGGACCAATCCCCAGACAGATTTTTGCCCCAAATCCCTAAATGGTCCCCTCAAGGATTGAAAACACAACCCTGGGTTTAGCAGGCCAATGCTCAAACCACTGAGCTATCCCTCCCTCCCAGATCTCAGGCAGCCCTTAATTGGATTCAGGTGTCCCTAATTGACCTAAGGTAGCCCCTTCTCAGCTAGTAGGGAAGAGGGCCTTTAACATTCTAGGGCTAACATCTGCCTTCCAGCACCCAGCTGCCCCCGGCTTCCCAGGAGAGCTGGGCAGCTGGACCCTGATCCCAGCTGGGAGCCAGGGCAAGAAGCCCTGGCAGCTTTGGACCTGCTGCCAATTGGGAGCTGTGGCAAGAAGCCCCGGTGGCTTTGGATCCTGCTCTCAGCTGGGAACTGGGGTGAGAAGCTTCGGACCCCTCTGGGACCTGGGCAGTCTTGTCAATTTCACGGCTGGATGAGCTGTGAAATTGATAAGGCTGCCCAGCTCTTGGAGGGGGTGGGGAGCCAAGAAACGGGCAGCTGGACTCCACTCTACGGGGGTGAGAAAGCGCTGGGCGGCTTCCCCCGCTCTTGGTGGGGATCAGGGAGTGGAGGCGGGGGGAGCCCACTGAGATCCTGAGGGGCAGCTGGGCTCCCAGCAGGGAGTTGCCAGCAGAGCTGAGAGCCCAGTCTCTCAGCTCCCCACACTGCCCTTCTTAGGGTCAGTGGAAGCACTCCTGATGAGGACGCGCATCACCGAGCTAAGGAAAGAGTAGTGTGGACATGCAGTGATTACTGTGGTTGCTGTATGTTGACCTAATATATAGGTTGACTTCCACTTCTAGTGTAGATATACCCATAGTCTCTCAATGATTTGCAGATCAGATTTGCTCATTGTACAAGTGAAAAGGTTTTCCTAAGTCCCAGAGCCACAAACTCAACCTGGGATGAGAAAATCAAGCTGACCGTATCTCTGATTTGTGCATCATCACTAGCAATAAAGATTATTCAGGGTAAATCCTGTCCTTATTTGCACTGTGCAATCCCATTGTCTTTCAGTGCAGTTGAGGTTAGAATTTGGTCTATAGTTGGAGTTTACATAACCACTTTAATGAAGCGAGAGCTAGAATAGAATCCAGCTTGCTTTCCTGATAGCTGTATTGGCTCTCAAGGCTAATGAGTAAATAGTAGTAAAATCTTATTTTGGTCATGAGAACAAGCTGATACTACTGAGTACACACAGTTAAGAAGGTGCTGTTTAACATAGTCAATTTTCAAAGTAGAATTTCACTTTAAAAGAGCCAGTTATTTAAATGAGTCTTCAGGTCTGAGAGCATACACTGTAATTTCTAACTTCATAAAACTTGCATAGTTTAGCATTCCTCCATACGTAGCAATCTTTGATGAATTTGCAGAGGGAATGCTGCACAAGGCTTTTAAAGGATAATTTGTTTTATTCTATATTACACCTAAATATTTAATCAGTGTTAATTATAAATTAATAACTTGTTTCAAATAATTTTAATTTAACTAGTATTTTTTCCCTAGGGATTCAACAAATGAAACTACTGCACATTCAGATGCTGGCAGTGAGCTTGAAGAAACAGAAGTCAAAGGAAAGAGAAAAAGGGGCCGTCCTGGCAGGCCTCCAGTATGTGGTGTTTAGTTTTGTTTTGTTGTGAATCAGTTTAAACTTGACTGCAGATTGTTCTCCCATCCTGTCCTCTTAGTGGTCACATCGATAGGTTTGCAATGAACCATTTGTCAAACTATGTGAAGATTTATAGTGCATAATACATATGTCAGACTGATACGAAAAAATTGCTGAAATAGAAGTATAGGATCTAATTTAAAAGATAAGCTGGTAATAGCCATTAATACTTTTTCCTTTACATACATACACATTAAAATTTTACATTTCGTTATTTGTCATATTACAATATTCTTCCTAGGCATGAGAGTGGTTTTATTAACCATAACTCTTTTCTACTATTAAAATTTTTAATGGACACTTCACTTAAGTGTTGTGAAACGATACTTGAGCCATCTTTAAGTGGCTTTTAATTTCTTCATGTGAACTGGAAAGTATGCTCTCACTTTTAATATAATGTTTAGATGTTCCCTAGGGAGATCTAGTAATGCAGGTTAAAATATTAAGATAAATGAACATATTTTGTGTCCTGAATCTGGGTAAGGAGCTTTGTTCTTTAGTATAATATAGTTATCTCTAGATTTGGTATCTGCTGTATAGGTATTTACTAACAGAAGATTCTTCTTCAGGGCCTTTGTACATTACCACACCATGAATGGGAATGTTACCTAGGCAATTCAAAAACTCACAGTAACTACTAAGTAACCCTTTCTATATTTATAAGATATTTATTCATAAGAGAAGTAACTTCCTCAGCAGGCATATATAATTGTGGAGGCTATGTTTTATCAAGCCGTTCACTGTAGGTAGATTGCCAGAGTCATCACAAATATTAATATTAATGTTTGATTATATAATCAGAATTACACAGTGTGTAATAAGATTTTTTGTGAGAATTTTGCATAATTTTTTGTGAGCTTTTAATAATTTTGTCTATTTGCCAATTTGTTCCTTCCTCATGACTGTTCTGGTGTCAGCTCAGCTAGACTACATTAATGGAATATATGTTATAAAAGATCATATAAGTATATAGAACATATCTGCTGTTTTAGAATATCTGGTTCTAAAAGATTATTATAAAAAGTTGAAAATCCACCCAAGTACATGTACAGTAGGAACATGACATAGTTTTCCTGTAAAATTTTAATCCTTAATTATCTATCGCTATGTTAGCTTTGTAGTTAACAGCTCTATCCACTGAAGGACTTCCAGCTTACCAGATCCACTTTTCAAATGTTCCAGAATCTGTTGGAAGCATAGGACTGGAATGGAACTCCTGGGTCATAGAGTTCAGTCCCTCGCTATCGGAGGCAACCCTGTCATAAACTCCAGTTCATAAATTTATCAAGATCCATATTAAAACCAGTTAGGTTATATGCTACCACTGCGCCTATTGAAGGATGTTCCAGAACCTCACTTCTCTCACGATTACAGGGAACTTCTCATACTGGTCTGGTCATGAATGCTGAGTACCTGTCTTGCATCCAGAAACCACTTCATGCAGACCTTTTCAATTATTTTTTGTCTTAAGCTTTCCAGCTGATCTTGCTGTCATATTTGTATTGTTTCCTTGTGAGTCTTCAGCTGAATGTCCCTGTGCTAGAAAACAGCAGTTTCCTCTCAGTGCTGTTTCTGAGAGCCTCTTTTGTAGATTTTTTATTTCTTCTCTCCTTCCCATAATTCCTAAAAAAATATGGAACTCTTTAGAAGGGATTCTAAGAGCAGCCTGGGGGAAAATCCTTGATCCAGTGGCATTTTCTTCTTGTGCTTCAGCACAGCAGAGGCTCAGCTGCACTTCAAAAGACTGCTCTCTATAGCAGCTTTCCTACTCACTGAAGTCTGGAAGTATGGCCTCTTTGTAGAGGCCCAGGAGAGCTTTTTTTTTTTTTTTTTTTTAAACACACACAGGCCACCTCCTACCCCAGTGGGATGTGGAAAATTTCTCAGATGGCTAATGACATAAGGAGAAAATGCTTTAAATGTACTGCTGAGACAACACCCTGTTTTCAGTGGTGATCCTTAGGACCAGCACCTGCAATCCAAGGGAGTTCCTACTCTTTATCTCTCCAAAACTACTGTTTTTCCCCCTGATGGTCACCTAAGGGAAGTTCATTGATCCTCAATGGCCTGTCTCTTAAATTTGAGATGGAAATACTTGAATGGCTTGCTCTTTTCAGAGGCTGATCAAGAAATCTCCTGTCCAAGGGCACCATCCAAATCAGATAGGGAAGGTTCCCTTCTTTGTCCCTTCCTAAAACCACTGCCTGCAGATCTTCCTTGAATTTATCAGAGCTCATCCTCTTCAGTGGCCTCTTCCTACCCAAACCAAAAGACCCAAGTTGCTGCTGCCCCTCCTCCTTCTCATCTGAGGAGTATACCACAAAGAGGGTCAACATCAAAAAGCAATATGCCCAATTCATTTTTCTCTGTGTTTATCACAACAACAAAGTCAATTGTTATATAAATCGATGGTCCAGCCTACTGTAATACTATCTGTTCTACTGATCGCCTCTCAAAAAGGATATTTAAGTATTAGAGAAAGTTCAGGGGAAAAAAAAGATGTTATTTATTAGGGGCATGGAAAAACTCGTACTTGGAGAGAGAGGAATTGTTTACCTTAGAAAAATGCAAGTAAGAGGGGACATGAAAAAAGAATGAAGGTAGATTGGGAGTATCTCTTTTTTCCTGTCTCGTGACACAAGAACAAGGGGACAGTCAATGAAATTGAAAGGAGGAAAATTCAGAACTAAGAAAAGGAAATACTTTTTCACACAGCACCTAATTAGACTGTGGAACTCCTTGCTACAGGATTCCATTAAGGCAAAGTATCTTGCAAGGTTCAAAGGATTGATCATTTACATAAATAACAAAAATATCCAGAGTTGTTATGGTTAATGCTTAAAGAAAGTTTTGCAAGGGATATGAAACTATATACTTTGGGGTTAAACCACTCTCCTTTTGGGGTTAAGGTGAGGCCTTCGTGGGTGACAGATTATTGCACATCTGCCTAATGCAAGGTTTCATAGATTCCAAGACCAGAAGGGACCATTATGATGATCTAGTCTGATCTCTTGTATAAAACAGGCCATAGGACTTCCCCAAAATAATTCATAGCTTATCTTTTAGAAAAACATCCAGTCTTGATTTAAAAATTGTCACTAATGGAGAATCCACCACACCCCTGGGTGTGTTGTTCCAATGGTTAATTATTCTCATTGTTAAAACTTTATGCCTTATTTTTAGTTTGAATGTCCAGCAATTGCATTGTTACACCTTTTCCTGCTAGAATGAAGAGCTCATTATTAAATATTTGTTCCCCATGTAGATACTTGTAATCAAGTCACCCTTTAATCTTCTCTTTGTTAAGCTAAATAGCTTGAGCTCCTTAAGTCTATTGCTAGAAGGCATTATTTTGTAATCCTTTAATCATTCCTGTGGCTCTTCTCTGAACCTTCTTCAGATTATCAACATCTTTCCAGCTCTGGTGCCCACAATTCAGGAAACAGTATTCCAGCAGTGGTTGCACCAGTGCCAAATAGAGAGGTAAAATAACCTTCCTACTTGAGATTCATCTGTTTAAGCACCTTCCTCTGAAAAAGCTGGTGCTGGCCACTGACCAAGACAGAATATTGGACTAGATGGACCACAGACCTGATCCAGTATAGCAATTCCTATGTTCCTGAATTTTGGCTGAAGGGGGATATTTTTTTTTCTTTTCCAAATAATCTAATCAGATATAGTAATCTCCTTTGGAGGGAGATGACCTGGATGGCTGAGCTGTTACATAAGAATCTGGAGATCAAATAATAATCTTTTATTCATTCAGTCCAAGAAAGACCTCCCTCAAAATGCAGTTGAAAGAAATGAAAAAGTAGATTTTCTGATCCTTAAAAGAGTTGGGAAAAAAAAACCCCTGGACTCTGTATGGTTCTATCCAGCTAAGAGGCCCGCAATGTAGCATTTTTAAAAATGCATCAGTTACAACAGGATCTGTGAGCTCCCCATTAAGGGCATGGCTACACTTGCAGTTGTAGAGCACTGGGAGTTAAACCAGCCTTCGGAGACCGCAGCAGGGAAAACGCTACCGAGTGCTTACACACTCAGCTGGAAGCGCACTGGCATGGCCACATTAGCAGCTCTTGCAACGCCACAAAGAGCAGTGCATTTTGATAGCTATCGCAGCATGCAAGTGGCTGCAACATGCTTTTCAAATGCGGGGAGTGGGGGGGAGTGTGTTGTGTGTATGTGGGGGAAGAGAGTGGTTTTTGGGGGGCTGAGAGTGTGTCAGTGAACTTGTAAGTTCAGACAGCAGCAGACCTCCCTCCTCCCACCTCTCTCTCTCACTCAAAGCAAGCAGCATTCCTCAGTAAAGGTTCTTTTGTCCTGGAGCAGATAAGCAGCCAGCTGTCAGAAATGGAGCTTTGAAAGGGCATATCCGCATTCCTACAGCGAGTTCGAAACAATGACAAGAGTGGCCACTTGACTTAAGGGGATTATGGGACGTTTCCGGAAATCAATCAGAGCGCAGTAATGCAACACCTCGTTCACACTGGCGTCGCGGTGCTCCAGCGGGGGTGCAGGAAACATTATTCCACTCGCCGAGGTGGAGAACCAGCAGTGCTGTAGCCACGGAGTCAGAGCGCTCTACGTGTCTTGCCAGTGTGGACGGGAAGTGAGCTAGTGCGCCCTGGGCTCCTTTATTGTGCTGTAACTCGCAAGTGTAGCCCAGCCCTAATTCGCACACTATACTCTTCTTGATTCAAATATAGAAGGGAATAACTAGTTGAGAACTAAAGGCAAAATCAAACTAAAAACTCAAATCGTATAAAATATCTTTTCATAAATTAAGAGATTTTAAGGCTCGAATGAACCATGACCAGGAAAGTTTCACTCAGTGTTTACTGCATCAGACCCAATAACCTGTGGTTGAGCTAGTGTATATTTCTTAGAAAGACTTCAGATCTTCATTTAAATACTTAAAGTGATGGAGAATCTACCCTATTCCGTGGTAATCTGTTCCTGTGGGTAAATATTGTCACTGTTAAAAATTTGCACCTTATTTTCAGTTTGAATTTTTTAACTTCTGTTTCTAGCCATTGGATCATCTTATGCTTTTGTATGCTAGATTAGAATCCTCTAAATAACTTTTCTTCATATAAATATTTGTATACCATGATCAAATTGCCTCTTAATGTTTTCTCTGATAAACTAAATATATTGTACTCCTTAAGTCTCTCTTTGTAAGGCATGTTTTCCAGACCTCATGTTGTTAACTATCTTGTACATTAAAGTCTGTGGCATTATTGTATTTTTGGACAGAGTCGTCCTCACTCTAGATCACAGAAATATATAGTCGATAATTTGGGATACAGATATCTCCCCTAGAGAAAACTTCATCCCAGCACCACTGATGGCACAAAACTACTCAGCTAATCCCTCATTAAAACCTTGAAGGATTCCTCAATGAAATAAGTCCAGAAAACTGAGTCAGAGAACCTAGGAGCAGTTACAGAACAACCTGCCTTAATTCCATGTGCTTCTAATGCAGACAGAGCTGCATGTTCTTTAATCCCTCTATTCCTGTGGCACCTGAAAATGTTTCTCCAGCAGTAGTGAAAAGGGTTCCTCTTGTGGGAGGGTGGTGGTGGGGATGCTGAGCCAGCTTGCCCAAGATTTAGGGGTCAAGCTGAAAAAAAGAATTTCATGCCTGTGACCAGTACAGCCACAGCGACATAGGTTTTAGAAATGATCAAAAAGGGATATCATAAAGATTTTAAGTGTTCTCCTCCTATTGCATTCTTTTCCCCACCTTAGAAGCAGTAAGTCATACTGGACTCAATTCAGAACTTACTATATCCATCAGCAAAAGAGAGAGGAGCAGGTTTATACTTCAAATTCTGTGTTATCACTAAAAACAAACAAACAAAACACAAAACTGGAGGCTTCCACCCATTACTCACTTTCTTGTCTTTGGATCTGCAGATATGTTAAGCTCTCCATATTTTGGAAATTGCCCCCTCGTGATCTCCTGTGTTCAGCTGATCTAAGGGAAGTCTTCCTCTGTGTTCTCATTAACTCCTGCCAATCAATATTTTCTCCAGTTTGCTATCCAGAATCGATGTTTGCAAATCAAGACTATGCCACTGAGCCTCTCACCTGCCCCTTGGATGTATCTTCACATGAAGATCCTAGTACCAGGTCTCACGTAGGAGGGAATCATATCTTTCATTACCTATTTAACCTCTTGGTAAAAGCTTTGTCCACAGAATCAGCAGTCCAGCACAAATTCAGGACAACTCAGGTTCATAGTTAACTTTCAATGTAACTCCTTAATGCCACTTCAAAACACCAGCCCTCTAGCTACCATATAAAGTCCATCTTGTGCCTGGTCGTCTTATTTTGTGAAAAAAGCCTCAAGCTATATAGTACACAATAGATCAGTTTCTCAATACTACACAATCTTGACATGGAGTTGCTTTTGGTTAACTAGATTGGTAGTATAATATGTAAACATAGTCCGATAGGCAGTGCTTTCTATGTATATGGCTGCATAATGTTTTCATGAGAAATGGGAACTTCCTATCTCTCGTAGGGCCGGGGCTGGAATCTCCAGTCCACATGCTCGCAACTTCCTGATCCTATGCCGCCTAGCCTCAACTTAAGTTAGAGTTCTGAGGAACAAACAGCCCTAATGTATGCCACTGGTGTAAGGTCCCTCGGTGACCTTAAACCATGGGGTATGAGGCACAGTTGTGCTCCACTCTGCCTTGCTCCTCTTCCTTTCTCCTAGTCCACCCCGTGGCATGCATCTGACTCACCCTTTCTTCTTCTTGTGCCAGGGGTGTGGAGAAGGCTGGCACAGAAGTCAGTTCTTCTGCCTGCCCTAGCTTTTTTCCAGATGAGTTTCCTTGTGCAGAGGGAATTCTCTGCTGGGCATATCTGGCCATTTGAAGTCCATGTGTTGCTGCTATGTTCAACCATGCAAAATGGATTTAACAAACCAGAGTCTATGACCCTTAATGCTTCATTCTATGCTTTGTGGAAGTCTAGGCACAACCTACTCAGAGTCAGTAAGCCCCTGGAGGAGCCTCTATCAAGGCCCAGATGAACAGAATATTTTTCTCTGTTTCAAGGCAATTAGTCGCACCAGGAGACTTTCTACAGAATAAACCTTCTGGAGCTGTGAGCAGCAGTAAGCGCAGTAGAGAACTTTTTTCACACAATTCCCCCAAAACAGTTTCACCATTCACATGGCAAGTGATAACAGAACGACAGTGGCCTGTGTACAATCATGCCATCAGAAGATTAACTCTTTATAAGGAACTAACTATCTTGAGCAAAATGATTTACATGCATGGAAGACTGATCTCCAAGCTATTTGGCTCATGTAGAACACACAAGGGGGAGCTATAGGTATGAAGGAACTAAAGAAATCTTATATTAAATAACATAGATTCATAGGTAGAACTCCTGTTGACTTCAGGAGGGCCTGGATTTCCACCACAGATTTAGTGGCAAGAAGGGACCATATCATCAATTGTATCTGTCCATACAAATCCAATTACTGATTAATTTTAGTGGTGTGGAAGGAGAACAGCTAAGCCGTTCTCATGGGCAAATAAGGAGCTATGAACAAGTTGTAGTTGGATGGTGATGAAAGGGAAGAACACATTTTCAGTATAACAACATGCAGTTGGTCCCTATGAACTTGGTAATGATTGTGTCCTGAGGTAAATAGGATGCAGTAGTTCTGTAAATAAGATGCACTAGTTATTGTGTAAGTAAGTATATGGCAGAGATGTTTTTGTCACATTGACCATAATTTTTAATTTTCTTGACTTTTGTGCATAATTGCAAGCATGACATTGCATTATTTTATGTATTTATTGTATTGGTTAAGACTAGTATTATGGAAATATGTCTCGTTAGCAATTTGGTGCTAGGAAGTCATACTTCTTAACTTGACATTACACGTAAAATGCCTACCAAGTACTTATCACAACAGTTGTTGATTGATATGTATAAATGGTTTACAAGCATTTTGAATTCATTCATTCCAATGTTATAAATACTTCCAATTTTCATTATGCTGTTCCCTTTATCTAGTCTGCCAATAAGAAACCTCGAAAGTCTCCAGGAGATAAGAGTCGTTCTGAACCTGGAACTAGAGGAATAGGTCGTGGAAGAGCTAATGGTCACCCTCAACAGAATGGAGAAGGCGGGGACCCTGTCACTTTGTTTGAGGTGGTGAAACTGGGGAAAAGTGCGATGCAGGTAAAATAACTAATGTGCTGTTTGTTCATCTTTGTTACAGCTTGATCACTCAATATTTTCAGACTGTAACAGTTTTTGTAAACTATCGTATTGTGGTTGTATTTTTGATAATCTGTATCAGACTGATGGAATCTCTGGGTATTATGCTAAGATTTTCCCCTCGGCTTGTATGCTGAAATAAAGAAAGAAATGAGGAATGTGATCAAGCTGGAGATTATATGTGGAATAACCATAGTCCTAGAAGAAGTCTTCTACTTTAGTAAATTTCTTCACTATTTTGTTATTTTAAAATGGAAAAACAAGTGAGTACTAAAATTAGGGAATATTTAAAGCAGCTTTTCATGAAGGTTATCGTGTATTAAGTATAGCAAGGCAGAAAAGATGTGAGATGTTTAATCACAGCAGGTAAACTTTTCAAAAGTACTGAAATGACTTAAAGCCCAATTCCCATTTTCAATTAATTCTAGGGAAAAGAATTCACAGCCTTCACCTCCAGGATTACAGGCTTCTGGCTAGTGGAATCATTCCACTAGAATGGGCTAGTCAATTATTTTTTGTCAAGATCCAGACTCCACAGAGAAAATAAATAATAATATAAAAATAAATAAAAAGATTTCAGGGTCCATTCAAAAGCGTCTGGATTTGGCCTGCGATCCATCTATTGACTACCCCTGCACTAGATCATTAATTTTCACTGTGGACTCCTAGGACTGCAGAGACCTTCCTGGTGCAGTGTAGGAATGAAGTATTTTGACAACTGAGTAGTAGAAGATTCAGGTACTGAGAAGGAAGGTAAGGTTATGAGAGAAACACTATGCTTGGTTTGATGCTTATATATGTATAAGCATCTCTTAGGGAGATTTAGGCTAAGCCACTTAAGTGCTTTTGAAAATTTTATTCTACATGACTTAGGCTAAGTCCCATTGACTTTTAGTAGCACGTAGGCCCCTAAGTGCCTAAGTCACTTTTGAAAACAAGACTGTCCAAAGTCACTTAAGCCCTTTTGAAAATTTTACCCACCAGACATAAATCCATGATGGGACTGGGTTGTGGATTAATTTAGAGAATGTAGGAATAAACCTGAAGAAAATCAGAATTCTAAAGCTTTTTACATTTTGTTAATTTGGGGATGTAGGATTTACCCTTCTTATCTAGTAGGTGAAGACAGAACAAATTTTCTCATAATAGGACTATGGAAATCTTCCTGGTGCATTATCTTCATTTTGTTTTACTGCATCAGAGCTATCACTTCGGTTCATTTTCAGTTTTGTTTTGGCAGGATTCCAAGGTTATTTTGGAATTTTTCAGTTTTATTATGAGATAGGAGATATGATCTGATCTGTGTTGGCTGTTTATCTGAGAGCCATTGATAAAAATGGAAGCCAGAGAAAAGATACAAGTGACTGCTGTGCTGCTGTAGATTATTTTTTTTTTTTTTTTTTTGTGTGAGTGCCTTTGTGAGTGGAACTCAGTTGTTTAAGAAATAGTTGCATTGCTTCTGTTCTGAATAGGATCCACTTATAGCAAGATACAAAGGTGGTGGGAACACAGATTCCAACAGTACTGCCTGTCCTTGGCAAATTTCAAAGGAGAAATTTGTGTGTGTGTCGTGACACTTTGGGATTCAATTCAGAAGGAACTGAGTTAGGGAAAGTGGCAGTTTAATGAATTGATTTATTTATTGTGAAGGAAGTGTGCTGAGCTTGTTGGAAGAGGGGTCTTTTTAAAGGGCAGGAGCCCTGGGCACATGAAGAAAGTAGTAGTGTGGGTGAGGTCACTCTAATGCCTGGGGCAAAATTTTCAAAAATTCCTAAGTCCCATTTTCAGTAGTAGCTTAGGCACTTAGGTGAAATTTTTACCCCAGTCAACAGTAAAAAATGACTCATTATTGACAATAGGTGTTAGTACAGATAGAGCTGAAATTATGCTTAACACTTGTTTAGTTGCAAATATAGACTGAGAAAAACCACGTTCACCAGTGTTTCAGAAACCAAGGTTAAAAACTGGTCAGACTTGGATATATATATATATATGCCTTTTCTACCCTTTCATTCCTCCTGAGGGCCTCCATACTGACTTGTAGAGATTGGTGTATGCAGTGTTGTTGTAGCTGTGGTGTTGTTCCTGGGACATTAGAGAGACAAGGTGGATAAGGTAATAAATTTTATTGGACCACTTCTGTTGGTGGGAGAGACAAGCTTTCAAGCTTACACAGACCTGAAGAAGAGCTCTATGTAAGCTTGAAAGCTTGTATCTCTCACCAACAGAAATTGGTTCAATAAAAGATATTACCTCACCCACCTTGTCTCTCTTGTAGAGCTTGTGACACGATCATTATGAACGGACAGAGTTCTTGTTAGTGGCTCTTTCTGTGCAGGGCTTTGCAGTGCACAACAATAACATTATTGAACCTACCAACTTTCAGACAATACTACATATTCTTGTGTTGGTAGATGGCACTCTATCTACATATACATGTGCATTGATGTATTTTTTTTATAGAGTGCTCTGTAATATCTCTTCCTATAATGGAAACTGAATCTTTTTAATCAATAACATAGTCTTTGAAATTACAAAGCAACTTTACTGCTCTTTTGCTTCATGTAGTTTTATTTTCAGGCCTTCCTCCTGTTGCTGTTTGCCCTCAGGAGATTTCTGTGCTCCTAGATTTTTCTGGCATTGTCTTTGTGAACTCATGAAGCTCAAGTGAACTCACTTCACATTGGTTGCAGACTTTCCTTGTATCTTGATCTGTGGTAGGATTCATTTGTGTCTTCTGTTCAGGATAATTTTTTTGTTGATTCTTCTAAGGGAATTATAGTTGCAGAGGTAGAGTTGTTTGTATTTCTACCATGTGCTATTCTTTGCAAATATTCCCTGCCCCCTGTCTGTTGTCTCTGTTGTTAGGTACTGCCTGTACTCATATTGACTGTTCTATGTGGAATTCAAAGAGCATTTTGGTACCTCTGTCATAGTAGTATTTGGCTTGTTGTCATTGCTGTTTAATTTGTGTTCTCAACTTTTCCACTGCAGCTTTGTTGAAAAGTTGTTCTGTAAGTAACAGACTGTATGTGGTGTGACATGAGATGCCGTTCTGGTCTGCTCTCCATGCCTTCTGTTGGCGTATTTTTCCAGTCAAGTGATGCTGTGCATGGGTCTTTGTTATGCCAGTACGCCTTTTTTACCAACTACTTGGCAATCTTGAGATCTGCTTCTGCTTTACCATTAGACTGGCTGTGATGCAGAAAGGATGTGATATGTTCAAATCCTGCTTATGTTGCAAACTGAAAATTTACCTACAGGCCCACTGAGGCCCATTATCTGTATCAACAATTTCTGGGATTCTATGCTGATTCTTCATAGCATTAAGTGGTAGAAGCTGCTCTTGTGTGCACAGGACTTTTTCCTAATAAAATCAGAAATTATAATCAAGGATTAGGAGGGATACTTGATTTCCTAATATATGTAGGTCCATGCCTGACTTGCTCTGCGATAGATCAAATATTTAGTGCATCATGAGTGACTTGCTAGGAATTTATTGCAGATACTTCACTGATGTATGAAATCTTTGACTTCACTGCTTATGTTTGGCCAACACAGGACATCTTGGCCCTATGTAAACATGCTTCAACACCAACAGGTTTCAGTGTATGAAAGCTAGCATTTCAGGATTTCAGACCTTTAGGTCTTTACCCTACTGCCTTAATATAGAATACCATTTTGTAGTGTCAGTGTATTTGAACTGAATATTGGCTAGACAAAGAAAATCTAAGTGGCTGGGCAGATGTCTTCCTGTCTGGTCATCCTGACCTATAGACTGTTCCAAATGCTTAAAATTGACTGTGCATTTGGGTATGTCTGTATCTGGGGCACCTGCTTACCTGTCACACAATAGAATTCTGCTTGGCTGATGTTCCTGATGAAACTCTGCCTCCTGGTGCATGTAGAAGATTTCATAATCAAGGGCTGTCAAGCTCTCACTGTCTTTTGGCACTCATGCTGTGGACAAAAGATATGCACAATCAGAACATCAGGATGAACATCAAAGACAATCTTTTGCATTGCACATGCAAGTGATATTTTTGATATTATTTCAAGATAGTTTGGAGCTGTTAACAATAGCTTTTTGAATATTAATTTCAAAGGTTTGTTGTCTGTTTCTGCATGGATATGATCATGGCCCAGGAGATACTGGTCAAACTTGGTATATGGAAAAGCAGTGAGTAGGAATTCTTTCTGTATTTGAGCATGGGTTTGCTCTGTTGGAAAGTGTGTCCTGGAAGCAAGTGCTATTGACTGATCATTTTGTAATAATGTTGCACCCATTCTGCATTCACTAGCATTATATTAAATTATACCATAATATTTCAGGATCAGATGGTTAATCACTCACTTTTGGATCTGTTTGAAAGCATTTCAAACAGATGGATGGATTTCCCAACACCATCCTGCATCTTTTTTAGTCAGTCTTTTAAGGGGTTCACCGATCTGTGAGAAATAGGGAAGAAATTAACAAATCTCAAAAAGAGCTATATTTTTTGCACATTTTTGTTGATTGGGCATGTCCAAAATTACTCAAACCTTTTCATGGTCTGGTTTTCATAGATTTTAAATCCAAAAGTGACCATTATTATAGGAGAGCAAAAGCTCTACCATAGTGAAGGTTGAGACTGGTTTTCTGTTTCAACTTCACTTTTCTAAGTGCTCTAAAATGTACAGTTACCAGATATTAATACAATCCAAGTATGCCTCATAGGGATGCAGAGTTCTGATAGTGATCCAAATTTGGGCAACCCAGGGCAGAAATCTGAATTTAAAAAAAGAAGCAGGCATATTGCACCAATGTACCTCTAGCAAAGAGGATATTTATTTTGAAGAAATGTAATCCGAGAAAAGCACAATATTTAGAAAGTGCTAATACTTTTTAAAAAGAAAATAAACTATAGAGACAAATACTCTCTGGGAGGGGAGGATGATTAGGAGTGGAAGAGTAGACGGAG